GATGCGCTAGGCTAAATTATTTGCGACAGCGGTAATGGACAATTCCGCTTCCAACCTGTAGGGCGACCGCAGAGGAAAAGTCTGCATCACTTCGTGTTGCTTTAAACATATTACCATATGGTGCATTAAACGAGGTATACTCTTGGGAATGGTTTGGAGTAGAAAAGGCTGAGATTATTAGGAACCTGCGGTCTTTAATTATAACCCCGGACTCCTCAAGGGTCAAAGGCACGGCTTTAGTTTCCTGATCAGTTCAAGGCCTGTATTACTTACATAGAGGTTTTAACCCCCGGTTTCACAGATAAGGCTCAAGCGTAACTGAAAGAAACTTTCATTGACAAATCTTAAAATATGTCAGTGCTGTTGTTTTGTCTCAAGATGCACATCCGTAATGTTTTAAAAAAGCTGCTTAAATGCCCTAATTGAACTAAGGCCTAATCCCGGCTTAATCTAAGCCCTGTCTGTGAAACAGGGCCTAAATGTTTGTTTTCTGTAGTGGTTATGTTGATCTCAAAAAAATGTCTTCTTCTGAACAAAAATTCCATAGATATTTTTGTTGTAGTTGTTTGGTAAACAGGGGAACACACTCAGACAAGAGTTATATGGACAAATGGATTGGGACACCTGACCATTACACCAACAGTGACTGTAATGAGATCTCATAGACATTAGTATGAGGCTGGTTTGTAGCTATAAAAGCTTCCACTCTTCTGGGAAGGCTTTCCACAAGATTTTGGAGTGTTTCTGTGGAAATTTTTGCCCATTCATCCAGTAGAGTATTTGTGAGGTCAGACACTGATGTTGGTCGAGAAGGCTTGGCTTTCAAACTACGTTCCAGTTTATCCCAAATGTGTTTAATGGGGTTGATGTCAGGGCTCTGTGCGGGTCAGTCAAGTTCTTCCACAGCAAACTCATCCAATCCTGTGTTTATGGACCTGGCTTTGTGCACTGGGGCACAGTCATGCTGGAATAAAAAAGGGCCTTCCCTAAACTGTTCCCACAAAGATGAGAGCATATAGCATTGCCTTAATGTTGAAGCATTAAGATTCCCCTTCACTGGAAGTAAGGGCCTAGCTCAACTCCTGAAAAACAGCCCCACGCCAGTATCCCTCCTCCACCAAACTTTACAGTTGGCTCAATGCAGTCAGTCAGGTAATGTTCTCCTGCTGTTTACCAGACTCGCCCATCAGATTGCCAGAAGTGTGTTCTGTGATTCGTCACTCCCCAGAACAGGTTTCCACTGCCGGCTGGATAAACACACTCCATCCGACGCTCGGGGTTGTACTTCGGGATGTGAGGCTCGCATGCAGCTGCTCGGCCATGGAAACCCATGAAGCTGCCGCCGCAGTGTTTGTGCTGATATTAATGCTGACTCTGATTAGGAATCCTGATTAGGAAGTTTGGAAGTCTGTGGAATCGTCAGTGTTGATGACTTTAAGCATCATGCGCCTCAGCTCACACCGCTCTGTGACTTTATATCTGCATCCTTCGAAGGCCGATTGCGAAGGCTGTCCCAATCGAAGGCTCCTTCAAATGCGTCCTTCGTTTCCCGTGCAATGAAGGATACAACAGATGGATCCTTCACAGCATTGCCTATACCCCAGAATTAATTGTGTGCCATGCAGTGACGACAGGAGAAATTGCTGAATTACACTTACAAACGCAAGTATTGGGTTTCAGCTTACTCCAATATCTATGATACAAATGTACAAATAAAGAGATCTTTAAAGCTGTTCAAATGTTGACATATCTTACTAAGATGCAATTATATATAGTTTGTACTCTTTATTATGAACAGAAATTGACCATAGTGGACCATTTGTTTTCAGACAGTTTAATATAACTTTCAAAAAAGTCTAGTACAAATGTTACTGCCACTCATCAACAGCAGCTGTCACAGTTGCTAAATGACATGAACAGTCCTCCATACGCTAGACGGTCCTATTTAACAACGCTCAGTCCAACCTTCACGCCTTCAAAGGACACAGCCTCTGAGTTGCTGCTGTTCCTAAATGTGTGCACTTTCTAATAATACCACTTACACAGTTGACCGAATATCTAGGAGGGATGGAATTTCTCGAACTGACTAATTGCAAAGTTGGCACATCCTATCACTTGAATTCACTGAGCTCTTCAGAACGAGACACTTTATTCACGGATATTTGTAAATCTAGACGGCATGGCTGTGGCAATCTGACTGAAACACCTGAATTCAATAATTAAGAGGCGTGTCCCAATCATTTTTTGTCCATGTAGTGTAGTATAAAGATCTAAAAAGTTGCTCTCGGGACTAATGTGTTTCTCGCCACGTTGGAGCAAGTTTTCACATGCATTTTACATTTTGTAATTTTATACAATTCATTAGGCTAATTATTAATTGAATACTTACCTTTTCCATTTTGGCTGTCCAGAAACAATAACTTTGGAAGTGTTCAAAATGTTTTATACAGAAGTTATACAGAACAACAAGTCCACTCTGAGTATAATATTCTCTGGATTATAAATTGTGACAACTAGCTTCAATCTCCCCTATATTTTGGAAACTCTGTTAGTGTCAAATGAATAAATGAGAAGATTGTGAAACTGAAATTCAACTTCTGCTCAAAGCTTCCAGCCACAAGAACTGTGGACAGCAAGTTTTCACTGCCATCTAGTGGTTCATGTAAGTTACATCAACCTGTGGCTCAAATGCCTCTAATGGGTTTAAAGTCCCCATGAAATCAAAATTGAACTTTTTTTGGCTTTTAGTATGAATACGTTAGCCTTATTGTTATATATATATATAAGCTAGTGTGCTCCAAAACAATGACAAAAATTGCATTTAGAAGATATAAGTGTTCAAATCTTTAGTCTCACTTCCACATTATGGATCAATGATTTTGATGACATCACTCTGCACCTCATCTTCTCATCAGATTTTCTGTGCAATCAAATGCTCTCTAGAATCTGAAGCTCCGCCCCCTACATTATAAATAAACGCTGAAGCTGCAGCTAAAATCAGTCATTTGTTCACATATTTACTTATTTCTACATTGTGAATGGCACATAGTGCATTATAGGGAACAATTCACAGTGTAAATATGCTTTCCATTGGTGCGAATGAAGTCTGGTTTCACGTTATTGTGTCACACGAACCTCCACAGCTCGGGTCTAGAGACACGACAGCACAGAGCGGACGCAGACCAGAAAACATATCGGACCCATTTGAAGTCTACACAGAATGCTATATGGTGGAGATTAGGAGGAGAAACGGTATAGATTAGGAAGAAACTGCTGCTTTACCGAGCTCAACGGCTCTGGCCGAGCTGTGATTTAAACGATAAGCTATTGGCTATTTTTAAAAGGGGAGGAGCTGCTCGATATGCCCCGCCCTTTCTTAAGACCCTTTTCACATTTCCGGGTTTCTCAGAAGCGGAAGTCGTCATAGTCAGATAAAATTCTATAGCAGTGAATGAGAGATTACATACATTTTCGACAACAGTGTTTTCACAACTTTCAAAAAGAGGAAGAAAATAGAGAGAGATTGATAACGGCAGTCAGAAGAGAGAAAGATGTCAACTTTACCGTTACTCCCATAGCCGCAGTATTAGAAACACCCTCACAGCAGCGATAAGTGTTTTTTTTTGTAATTTGATGCAAAGGTAATACAATACTAAGTATAGTGTTATAATAGCCTTTCTTTTTTCAAATGAAAATGAAAAAAAAAAAAACGTTGCGAGATTTATGATGCCGCTGACCGTTAAAACGCATCATCAGAGTTTGTGAAAAGGTTTCAAGGCACTTCAGTGGGTCATTTTCAAAACACTATATGAGGATATTTAATAAAATCAAAAGCGATTAAGTCTCTTCAGAAAATTGTAGTTGCGCAGCTGTCAATGAAGGGAGAGAAATTTTAAATTCTTCATTGTGTTTTGAAGACGAAGTCTTACAGGCTTGGAACATGGACATGAGGGTGAGTAGCTAATTGATGATTATTTTTTATTTTTTCATTTTTGGGTCAACTAACTCTTCAATTCCTCATGAATAGATTTGAAAAGTATTTGCATTGTTGCTTATGAAAATGAAATTTGGCCAACAAAATAAAAGTTTAATATGTCCTTGTCCTCCTTTGTTTTCGTAAAATATAATAATCTCACAGTGGTGAATAGGCTACATATTTCCCATAGCTAAAATCAAAATATGAAATATTACTATTTTGATAAAGATTGTCATCATAATTACATAAATTACAAACATCATGATGAATACCAGCATGTTCAGCAACCGAGGCACTGGCAGCATAGAACTGAACCTCATTAGCAGCAATCGTGAAGCCAGCCCAGTTTTGCGTGGGAATATATTGGGAATCCTATGGCGAGGCCAATGTTCTGAATATGCATTGACAAGTTACTAAAGCATCCAGTATGACGCCTAACCAGTTTTCATAAATGAGTCACAACGTCTGCCTTTCGTAAAACCAGGTAGGCGTCCTGAGGGAACGTCATGAAGCTTAATAAATATTCATGAGCTAAGCCCTCGTCATAGTAGGTCTGGTAAAATCGTGGTTTGTTCTCTTCTACTCTCTGAATCCAGGTACGAAGATCGATTAGTCGGGTCTGAGCAGGTGTTTTCCAACTCACCAGTTTGTGTGTGTGTGTGTGTTGTAAACAGAAATTCATTTCCTGGAACACAACAAAATGGCATTTCGTCCAAACCATGAATGCCTTTAGGTGCTCTCTGGGAATTAATAAAAGTTGAACGCTAAACTTTGGAGATATACACTAATATCGAAAGGTAAGTAATCTGATAGCGTCCTTCACGTTCTTTCGATTTTGACAACCAAAGCCGTGGTCCATTTTTCCTACTAAAATGTAATTTGTCTTATTGAAATTAAAACTAACACGGGAAAGAAGAACTGAAACTAGTGAAGCGATTGTGACTGATTTGTTTACTGTAAATTTAACCTCTGAAATAACATAAAATGGGTCTAAAATTCTGTCTCTCGTTCCTTGTCTTTGAGAAGCCTGATTTTTTTTTGTCCTTTTCCCCCGCCGTTGACTAGACATGCTCATATTTATCCTCCTACTGTGTCATTTCACTTCATGTGGACACTGTACTTGTATGAGAAAAACCCTTCAAGTACAAGCAGGTCAAGACAGTGAAGGTAGGCAATGCTTCTTCTTTTTCAAACACTGATAAAAGCACATGTTCTTATTAAAATGCCATCATGATCTGATGTCATGAGTGCATATTTATAAATGTTGTAATCAGTTAATGATTGTTTGTTTATGTTCAGATCATTGTTCCTATCAAATTATGTTGTCTAAGTCAGTCATCTCCATCTCTGTTTCCTTGATATAATATTACTAATGGTTATTTGTGGATTATAAATTTTTAGTCACATGTGGCATTTTATTTGTGGCGTGTAGTGTTTGTTGTGGACCAGGAGGCCAACACTTTTTTAGGACGCCACCTGTTGTTCAACCGCTTCGACTTTGAGATCTTCACCCCAGGTAATCTGGAACGGGAGTGTTACGAAGAGATATGCAACTATGAGGAGGCTCGGGAAGTCTTTGAGAATATCCCTGATACAGTTGAGTAATCCCTTCATTATTGTTATTGACTAATGAATCAACATTTAATTCATTACACAGCCTACGACAACCACTCCCAGTTAAATGACATTGTCATGTGTACTTGCCCATGGGTTGGATTTGGGCAGATAAGTCTCAATTTTATGCAGTACAAATGAAAATATGATATCAAAGTGTGTTTGGAGCGACACACTCCCAGCATCTGATGATCAGGTCTAAATATGTCTGCATTAACAAACACCCATTTGTTGATTTCATACTGGACATTAATATAATTTGCATTTAATTTCTGTTTTGACAGAATACCTTTTGGAAAACTTATACCGAGGGTAAGTTTGTGATGCACATACAGCTGCAAGAAAAAACACGGAAATCTTCTCATTGAAATGTTTATCTACTGAAAGAAACTTGTTCATCCAGAGTTGTTAGCATACTATTTTAATATTCCCAGTTTGCCAAAGTTCCACTTCTTTTTAAACAGCTTCTGGATTGTGTCCTTGTGTTTGTCTGTAAAAAAAGAAAGAAAATGCTGTCATTTTTCTATATATGTGGAATCCTTTCCTTGTACACTACTTAGATTAAGCCAGGACTAGGCCTTTAATTTAGGTAGCTTTTATAAACATGCCTTAGAAATTAATATTACAGGTGTGCATCTTGGGACAAAACAATAGCAGCCAGTGACATATTTTAAGATTTCAGTGCAAGTTGCTTTCAGTTAAAACAGCTCAAACATGCATTTTAGACTAAATTTAAGCCTTGTCTGTGAAACCAGGGGTTAATGTTGTTGAAAGAAGTCTCACCACAGCTGCATTTATTTGATAAAAAATATTTCAATTTGAAATGGCTGGTTTATATATATATAATCATCATTACTCCAGTCTTCGGTGTCACATGATCCTTCAGAAATCATTCTAACATGCTCATGCTGATTTCATTTCATATCATTTATTTATTTATTAAGCACTTTTACACTCTTGGTCATTGAACAAAGTGCTGTACAAAAATAAAGACAAAGACATAGCCATACAAACACACAGACATTAACCCCACGGTTAATTTAGCACTCAAGAAACATTTCTTATTATTATCATTGTTGAAAACATTCATATTTTTGTGGAAACCATGATATGCCAGTTAGGGGTAAGAAAGATTCAAGTGGAAAAAACAAAACAAAAATTATACTTTTATTCAGCAAGGATGCATTAAATGAATCAAAAGTAACAGTAAAGACATTTATAATGTTAAAAAGATTTCTATTTCAAATAAATACAAATGCTTGTATCACAGTTTCCACAAAAAATAGTAACCCGTTTTTAACATTTAATATCAATATTTGGTCTTGAATAATAACTGATAATAATTAAGCAGCAAATCAGCATATTTCTGAAGGATCATGTGACACTGAAGACTGGAGTAATGATGCTGAAAATTCAGCTTTGCATCACAGGAATAAATTACATTTTAAAATATATTACAATAGGAAATGGTTATTTTAAATTGTAATTATATTTTACAATATTACTGTTTTACTGTATTTTTGATCAAATAAATACATAACTTTTTATTAATATTGACCGGTTGTGTATGCACTTATTATTTCTGTAGTATTATATTTCAAAGAATGAACGTACAAAGCACTGTCAGATATTCATCATCAAATAATAATAATCATTTTTATTTTATTATTTATTTGTTTTCTTTTATTTTTAGATTTGATAACTTTTGGGCTTATTTCCACCTGTACTCATAGATAAAGGTGAATCCCAATCAAAAGTTGATGTAACAGCGCTGCTGGTGGGCATTATCTCCGCTGGAGTCTTTATTGTTATAGTTGGCCTGGTTATCTGGTACTTCTGCCAGGGGAGGAATAAAGACCATGGCTTCCGAGGGTAAGGCTTTAAAAGTGTGAACCACATTCTGTATGTTTGAGACAATTATCCTAAGAGTTGGTGCCTGAAGAGACTGAGAAGAACAATGTTTTGCTTTTTCATTTCAGCTCCATCAGACGTCGATCCAACCGAAGCAATGCCTCCGTGATTATCCGGAGACTGGAGGAGGTTTCTCTGCATCCTATTCCTCACACAGACTCCGATGGGCACCCTGGTGCTCCTGGTTTACCTTCTTATGAACAGGCCATCGCCATCACTGGACCACATGATGCCCCACCTCCACCATACCCTGGGTACAGACACACCATTTCATTTGATGCGTTCCCTTATGTAACCTCTGTGTCATTTTTATAACACCTCTATTATGTCATTTAGTTATTTATTACCGACCATTTAACTTTTCTTAAACAATGTCAAAAACAATTTATAGTACACTAATTGCCATAACAGCAAGCAACTCATGGTTAATTGTAATCACTGTTGGTTTTTAATTGCTTTCTAAAGAGAAAGTTGCTGCCTGTTTTGAAGTCTCTTCTACACCAGTGGTTCTCAATCTTTTTGATTCCAAGGCTTCCCATTGTCCACAGCCATTTTCAAAGGCCCCATGGGTCATTCCGTGTCAACTCAACTCAATACATTTTTTTTAATTTGTTAATATTTTTTCTTAACATAAATAGTAATGAAAGTGGATAAATGGATAAATATTTACTGAGTAATCCACAGTTTTGTCACCTACAATTTAAAGCCACATTACGGGGGAAGAAAATGTCTATTAGTAAATTCTGTTGTATTTAACAATCCTTGTGGAATAGTTTATCAATGCTGACAGTTCAAAAATGGGGAGATGCACTCTTTTTTTTTTTTTCTTTTTTTTTTGCATGCCTGTAACTCAAAAAGCAATAAAGATATCTCAATATGTTTTTATTTTCTGGTTTTTAACAAACATTTTTTTTGGTAATTTAATTTTTAAGGCTATATATGCTTCAATACCAGAGATATGGGGATCTCAATGTGGCTCTAGGAGTAAATTGTACATATTTTCAGTGGTCCAAAAAATGTGTGTGTCTAAAGAACAAATAATGTTAAAAAGTGCCTATATTTATTCACATAAAAACAACAATGTCAACATCCTTGTTATTAAGAATCAGGAAACCATGCTATTTAGCTGGTGCAATACTTCTATCTCACTTTTGTATTTCAGAAATGCACTTTTACAGATCTCTGGAAGGAGGTTAATGTGCCTCAACTTGGCTATTTCAGTGTATTTTTGGTTCTTAACTATTGTTAACATTAGTATGTTCAATGCAGTTGTTTTGATAGAAGACAAGAAAATACATTTCTAGTTTTTCTATTTTTTTTTTGTTCTTCAGACATTCCTTACTATGAGTAAACGGTATCAGTATCAGCTCGTTTTCGACCATTGAAAATGGTAAAGTTAGACAATTTGCACATGGAGCCGCATTGAGATCTCCATATCTCTGGGAAGTAACCATATAGGGCCTTAAAACTGAACAAACCAAAAGAAAAGTTTAAGAACCAGAATCGAAAAAGATATTGAGATACTGTATCTGTATTACTTCTTGAGTAACAGTCATGCAAACTTTGGAAAAATAATATTTATGGCACTCAGACAGGGATGTTCTATACAATTATTTTGATAAAGGGAAACAAGATACATTTATAGTTTTAACATAATTTGTTATTTAAACATTTCTCTTTAAAAGAAAAAGTATCAACTATATGCAAAGTGACCCACATTTGGTTTTTCACCACTGAATATCTGTACAATTTACTCATAGACCCACATTAAGATCCCAATATCTCCGGGAATTACTCATATAGGGCCTTACAAATAAACATACCAAAAGAAAACAAAGTATAAAAGGATATTGAGATATCTTTATTACATCTTGAGTTACAGGCATGCAAACTTGTTAAAGTCAACAGATTTTTACTAATAGGCCTACCTATCTAATGTATGTGTACAACTAAAATAATGATGCTGCCATCTTTCTTAAGTCATTTTTGCTCACCTGTAATTTGGCTCCAAATCTCAGGTGAAATTCGTCATTCTGACCCCCCTCTACAAAATAGTGGATTAGTATATATTCATCCATGGCATTTAATATTTTGGCTTTCATCACTGTTTGTCTGTCTTCGGGAAAAAAAACATATTAACAAAATCGAATCATTTTAAAGTAATTTTAGCTGGGGAACTTTACAGATTTTGGTTGATTTGTCACAGAATGACCCCCATGCTTTTCCAGTTGATCATGATTTACTGGATAAGGGTTTCTACATCAATTTTTTTTTTTTTATCGTTTTGAAGAATGCTTTTTACTCGAAATATCTACTCAATAAAGTATTGTAGAGCTTTGCTTAACTAGGAAAAAATATATTCATTAAAGATGGCCATGCTGTTGAGATTTTTTATTACTTTACATAACTTTTTGCAGGAAATTGGAATTGGAACTCATATATATCCAAAGTTTCCAAGACCATACAAATCCTGGTTCCTCAAAAAAAATAAGTGAACTCAAATAAGAATTATATTGATTTTTTTTATGTTGTTTTGTCTCATTTTAAATCATTTTATGTCATAATCTCGGACGTTTGAGAACCACTGGTCTACACAAAAATGAATCAATTTTGCAATCTATTTTTTATAGTGTACTTTCAGTTAAAATGGTCACAAATCTAATTCCGCACATCTAATATCTATCCGCAGTTCCAGGCCAGGCAGCATCAGAAGATAACCATTCATCATTTGCCAAACTAAATCAGGATTGACTGGAAAGATAACTTTCAAAATCTACCGTAATCACTTGTTGTAAATTCTTTTTAATTGTGTTTATTTAAAACTATAACCATTGAAAACCAGTTTTGATATTAATTATTTTATTATAACAATAAAAGGTTGATAATGTTTTATTTAACATACTGGGTTATTGTGAAGGACATATACATAAGTATACATGTAATTTTATAATTTTTTTAAGGTGTTTTAGAGATCTAGTAGAGTGTGACTTACAATTAGTGTATTTACTGGATCAATATTTGGTCTACATTTGTGAGAAATAACTCAAAACAAGATTACCTCTAACGTTATGACACTCATGCCAGGTTGTGTTGTGCTCCAGATCTCTGGAGACTGAAGCGTCTCTTTGATGCCTTTTACATGATAGGCTCTGGTGTTATCACCATAGGGATATTAATAGACTTTATAATAAAATTCCTGCTTTGACTATTTTTGTATCTTAGTGTTGTCTTGTTACATTTTTGTGCATGATGAAAACACTTGGCATATTAATTACAATTGGTGATATGCCTAAAGCAACTTTTAGGTACTGTATTGTATTGTTTTTTACAATACATTTTCACACTCTTTGGAGATATCAGATATTGTATGCAGATGTTAGGCAGATTAGTGGGAAAGTGTTGGCTATTTAAGGGGGCGTTTTACACAACACAGTTTTCAACTAAAAATGGAAAACGTTTTATGCGGTTTGGTCGTTTATTTACACGACAACGCCGTTTTGGGTGCCTGAAAATGCAAACTTTTAAAACTAGTTTTTGAAAACTATACCGTTATCGTCTCCATATTACAAAAATGCACATTTAGGCCAAATGGACGGGACCCCAAATTTGGGCTACCGGTACCATTTTGAGGGATTAATTTTCTTTTTGATTTTCATGAAGGTACACATCTCTAGTGTTGGAAAATGTGTGATAGCATCCGATCCATGGTAGCTTTCATTAGAAATCAACACTTATATCATCCTACCTCAAGGTGTGTTCAGTGACTACAAGAGAGAAAAATTTATCCTTTTAGAATTTTAAAAATTTATTTTAAAAAATCATATTTTTTTATTATAAAAATTCATAAAATTTTATAATTTTTTATAAAATTTAAAATTTATTTAAAGATAAATTCATTTATCCTTTTTCTTGACATATGTTTGAAAATCGTCCTCTGTAACCAAAAACTACCTTGAATCTAATGCTATCACACATTTTTCAAATACAGGGTCATATACCTACACAAAAATCACCATGGGTTTAATCCCTCAAAATGGCACCAATCAACCCTCTGTCTCACGGCCTAATTTGGGAAAACAGTGATGTCATGTGCATGCGTGTGTCACATGAACATTTTGTTTATATCATTTGGTTTCGTGTTCACCTGTCTGCTTCATTCCTATTTGGCTGGGTTCTTATTAGGGTGAGTTCCTTACAGCGTTTTTGCACCCTTGAAGGGCACTTCGGGAAGGGGACGCCATTTGAAGGGGCGTTCCAAACGAATCCCTTCGCAAAGGGGACATGCGATGGTCACTTCAAGGAAGTAATTTAATCGTTCATGGTCATGTGACCCAGGGTGGCGAATCCTCACGATTCATTTTAAATTTAGATATGGCTAATAAATTTAGGATTCAATAAGAAATTTTAGATAAATTTAGAGTTGGAGTTAACATACAAACAGAATGTTTTGTTTTGTTGTGATATATACACACATTTGTCATGCATTTCATTTTTAGTTTTATAGGTAAAAATGTGTTTAATGCTTAACTTCAGATCGAAGCAGATCTAGAACACACACACACACACATAAAGCATTTTTTTAAAACTTCATTATAAATGTACATTTATTTGTATTTCAGAGTGATTGGGGCATAGGGATTCTCATTTCCGATTGGAAATTGCCCTTCGTCTCCTTGGTTACTCATTAGTCCCCTTGTTTGCTGCACTGTCCAATCATCTTTGTCTAGTATTTTTATGCCTGTGTTTCTCCTTTTAGTTGTCGGTTCTCGTTAATGTTATAGCTAAGTTTGGTTACGGTTTATCTTCTATTTATTTGTTAATAAAGTATATTGCATTGTCGTGTTGGATTACCTACTACACCACCCCTTGCTACGCCTGACAGCGTGTTACGTGTTCAGGCTACAGGTGTGTATAGTGTTTCTTTACAAAGTGACATCGCCACCTACTGGCCTGGCAGCATAATACAGCATTTTTAGTCGTTCTCGCGGATCCATGTAAACGGGGATTGCTTTGACAACGTTGTCGTCTGTACAAACAGAATATTTTGTTGTGATATATAGACACATTTATCATGCATTTCATATTTAGTTTCATAGGTAAAAAATGTGTACGTGAAACTTTTCAAAAAGGCTTTTATTCACACTTTTTATTCAGCTTTCTGTCCCTCTATTGACAGATACGCAACTACCACTCCGATGCTTCAAAAAGTTCATAAAGAGTTCGTAAAACTAATCCATATGAATTCAGCATTTTGTCCAAATTTTCCGAAAAGACTCGATCGCTTTATATGATGAACAGATTGAATTTAGGCTTTTATTCTCATATATGGATCAGCGAACATAAACAGAAGCTCAACTGAACCTTCTTGACGCACGAGAACAAACCTCATTGGTTCCTGCAGAAGCTCAAACGTGCTGCGTAACACACTTTGGACAAAACTGCTCAAAAACCATATGGATTAGTTTTACGAAATGAAAGAATTAAAATTTTTGTGTGAATTATCCCTTTAAATCAGCCAAACCACTTGGCATTCTTCACAAACCACAGCTTGAGAGCCACTGTACTAACACACCTGTCTGAATTTGAAGGAAACTGTCTTCTAAAAAAAGACGTTGGTTCAAAGACAAACAACAAAAATCATTTGATATTTAAATGCAATGGCATTAAGACATCATTGGGGCCACTGTGTGTGTGAACATAAACATTTAGCTAATACAAAGTTGAAGGTACAAAGTTAATATATGGGCCAAATGATAAATAAAACATAGCGTATAAGAACAATTTGGAAAGGTAGGGAACGTCAGCGTCCTATACAAATATATTGACAACAACTGCTCCTTATGACATTGGGTGTATCAAGTTATTGATAGGGAGAAGGTATAATAATTATGGTCACACTTTATATTAGGTGTACTTATTGCCTTCACGTTGTATTGCGAACCAGTTTGATACGGTTAGGACAGGTTTGATGGTTCGGTTTAAGGGTGGGTTAGGTGTAAGAGAAACGTCTACAGTGTAATAGATGTAATTGCATAAATTAATGCAAAAAAAGAACAATGTAAAAAATAGGCTATGTATGCTACACAATAAGTGCATTGCATCAAATTATTAATTTAAATGTTATACATAGTAGTAGACAGTTAAAGACAGCACACAGTTTATAAAGTGGAACCATATAGGCTATTAATTTTAGCAACAATAGATCCAAGTCTCCACAGGGCTGCGCGCGCGCGTGTGTGTCTAGATTCTAGAGAGAGAGAGAGAGAGAGAGAGAGAGAGAGAGAGAGACAGAGGGGGGAGAAAAGCAAAAAAAACTTCCATCTAAAGTTTGTCGGAACTCGGAAGTGAATGTTTGGGAGAAAAACGTCAATATGGGGACTCGATGCAGCAGCGCTTCTGACTGCTGATTGTGATTGTGTTCGGGGGCCACGAGCAGTGATTCTCACCCTGCGCTTATTAATCCACAGCACAAATCAGCCGTCCGACCCCCGGGACCAGCGCTCGGATCACCGCGGGACCAGCAACGTTTGGAGAAATATGTGATTTTGTCACGCTTGGTTGAATGTGTAACTGTATCAGGGGACGCGCGTCATTCCCGATCCAAGGCGGATGATGGAGAGGAATTACCCGAGCTCCAGCTTCACAGAGCCGGTCAGCGCGGCGGCTCAGAGCGCGGGCTGGGCCTACAAACCCAGGTACGAGAGGGTGGGTCGCCTCCCGAAGAAAACTCCGGTGATGGAAGGCCTAGCGAAACAAACACACATGTAAAAGTGTCAAGACACATATAAAGGCAGTTTTAATGTAGCTAATGCGTTTATAGCTTTAGTCACTCGCGGAGTAATACACCGTGGTGCTTTTTGTAAATCTCATGAATGTGCTCAAATCACTGATCACCTTTCAATCCGCACTGCACTCACACCGTAATTCGTTATTATTCATTATGGTATATGTTTTTGTGCATGAATGATCAGAAAGTGGAGGTTAAGAACTGTGTCAGCTTGGTCTGTCGTATATAAACTTGTAAGTTACACTGCAGTAACAGTGTGTTTGCAGACATGGAGGAGGTTTGTAAACAATTGATCGATCAGTGTTGCAGAACACGTGTCTGCAACTTTACACAAAAGTGTCTTATTTAGGTCTGTCTGTCATTAATTAGCTTAATTTACACATGTATGGTGCCAATGCATCGCATTTATATGCATAAATTGCTTCTGTTTATCAGGCAGTGATCTACAAGTCATTTAATCAGTATAACTGTTCTGTAAAATTAATTTAAGTGCAAAAACAAAACCTAGGCAGGGTAGTTAGTCAGCAGCACACTAGATTTTGAGACAGTGCCAAAAAGCACCAGGTGGTTTAGCAGTCAGAACCAGGGACAGTTAGTTTATTACACTGTCCTAGCATGCAAATATCACATTGTCCGGGCAGCTCTGTTTACTCAAAAATCAGAAGTTCCCATCTTCTAACTTATGGTTTTGTAGAAATTTACATTGACACCATACATCAGAAATCAGTGACGTTAATTTTATGCCTGGTGAAAAAGAACAAGATTTTGTGTTTTATCATAAGAAAATATGAATTGAGAAGGAATAAATATATATTATAAATATATACTATTATTAATAGTAGTTTGGATTCACTAGTTAAAATGATCAACTGTTTCTTATAATAATTAAACATCCGAGTGTAAGACATCAGTCATGGACACTAAAGTCTTGTTTAATTTTCTGATTCTCCAGCGATGTGTTGCCACTTTAGTTTTCTGACTACTATTAACTGAAATAGATAATTTAACTGACTAGAACTAGCTGATGATATCCTCTCTGTTAGTTTATGGGATGTCTGTACACACATACACAGTGAAGCCATCAAAAACAGCTAGGAAACAAACTCAAAAATGAATCTTGCCAGCTGTGACATTTACTTATGCAGATGTTTATTTGGCAAAATATATTATGTAGACAGACTTGCCTCTATTTAGCAAGAGATGTGGCTTTGCTACAATCATACCAGACAAACCAACTAAAATAGTTTCCATGTGTTTTCTCTGTCCAGACTCTATGTTCTTTGTAGCTTGTGACTTTTTTGTCTCATTTGCTGTGAAGTATGGCTATTTATTTATGACGGAGAACTTTTATAATTCACTTCAAATATGCAGACTATATAACTACCCAAACTATGCTACTTCTACCAGCCTATTATGTAGGC